GGTGGAGCACATAAGTATTGTTGCATCTTTACTAGAGTAATTGCTGTGTTTTTCCATCTTCTTGCATCCTCTGCATCATTGTCCAGAACCATCCACACGTCAATACCTAAAGGCGGGTGAGGTTACATTAGAGAATATACTGTCAATTGCATCAATGTCACATGAGATTGTATTTTACCTGTTGAGGCTTCAGCAGATGCTGGCTATGGTGGTGCTAATGTAGATGGTTCTGGTGTTCATCAAGGCTGCACATTCCCCTCAACCAGGGGCGGAGCTAGATGGGGGGCCAGGGGTGGCCATAGCCACCCTTAATCAATCATTGGCCACCTCTGTGCCCACTCCTGGCACTTTTTGCCTCTAATACAGACAGTGGCAGAAGCAATACTCTGAAGAGGAATGTTCAGACGTATTAAACATTTAAATTTTTCATATATTAACAACTACTTGACAACAGAAACATTGTTAATTATGCTCATCAATATACAAACATTAAAGATGATAGATACAGAATTCATGCTCTTTTCAGAACAAAATTTTGAATTATTTGTGTTAAAGATAAAATGCAGGAAAGTATAGTTTGCCTTTATTTAGAAAATATGGATGTTGTGCTCGTTCCTGTTGGAACAGTGTAGATTGACACTGAGGCTCTGGTGCCTTTCAGCCAATGTACATTGGTTATTGACTGGCCATCCCTATCAAGCGTTTCACCTTGGAGTTGAGACTTGTCATCTCTACACCAGATAATCACAAACAGATTTGAATTGGAAAGCAACTGGACTTTTGCTCATATTTTTTTAAGGATGTTTCAATACCTATCACGCACATTTCTCTGTTCTGTTGACTCACACCAGAGCAAATTCTAATTGGAACGCTGATGTATTTAAGCAGCATGGAGGCCTTTTTTTGGCCCCAACAATCCAGAAAAACAAGGGGCGGCTTGTTTATTTCCATCTTGAAATCTTTGCAGCAGGATGGAGGGAGCTTTGAACATAAACAAGTTTTTAAAGCTCCGCCTCTCAAATTGATGCAGTCACCTGACTCGTTCTGGATGACGCAGTAAAGATATCGAAACAACATAAGTTATGTCATGCCAATCACGCTCCTTCCACTGAAGTGGTTCTACAAGATTCCATATACACTTAGTTTTGTTTTTTTGTTTGAAATTTGATGAAACCTGTTTTTTATCTTTTCAATTTCATTCAGGTATACAGGTAAAAGCCAGTAAATTTGAATATTTTGAAAAACTTGATTTATTTCAGTAATTGCATTCAAAAGGTGTAACTTGTACA